ACTTAGTGCCTAGAAACTGCTGTCTATTTGGCGTGGGTTGGGTTTTTTTCCTCCGATAAGAAGTATTGCTGTTTTCAAAGTGCTTTTTTTTTTGGTCAAAACGCCCTGAAAGAAGAAATGTTTGTGTGAAACTGACTCATAGAAAAGTAATAGGGTTTCTTGTCCCCTGAAGCAGAACTTTTCTTCACAGAAGCAAGGAGTTGAGTCCAGCTCTGGGTTGGGCTTCCAGGGGTTTGTATTTAGCACTAGGATGAAAAGGTGACTCTAGGGAGATGACACAGCCCGGTAGGACCATTTTCAGCTCTTCCAAGCTTAATGTGACAGGTTTTTGCTGGCTGGTGTGTGAGAAGCCTCTAAGAAAAATACAAAGTATGTACCTCGAGGAAATCTTCAAGCTGGCATTGGCTTAGCAGTGCAGCTAGGTGGAAGGGGCTGTTGGCATATATGGTGACTCAGGGTTCTGGCTGGGCTACAGGAAACTGAACTTCCTGGTAGCCTGGGGCCATAGTTGTAGCTCTAAAGTTCACCTCTGCAAGATTAGTGACAGTAAAGCTACAGTTGTAACTGTATTGGACTCATTGGACTCAGCTAGCTCATTTTTACTAATTTGCTATTTCTAGCTGAAGGTAGGTATCTTCCTGTGGTTGTATAAAACACTTGGTGTTGGCCAACTGCTTTATCTCTTCTTTTTGGTGACTGGATTTTAGCACTGGCTGGAGAGGTGTTTCTTCTCTCTCTTCATGAGAATGTGTGCTTAAGGAACGTCTGGGAAATAAAGTTGCTTCTATTATGTGGGCAGGAAGGAGCTCCAAAACGTTAAACTAGTCAAATACCTTCAATTAGAAGAACTTAGGTTTAGCAGTTTTTAAGACACTCAAGCAGGGTCTTCTTAAGTGGCTTTTTAATGGTTTCTAGTTTGAATTTTTCAAACTTTGTGGGCTGCAATTCTTGTTTCCAGGTGCCTCCCTCAGGGCCAGCATTTTTGGAAGGCAACAAAAAAACCCGCCTCGAACCACAAACCAACAAAGTCAGTGAGCAAAACGAGTGAATCTTAAGTTGTCACAATTGCATAACACCTCTGTCTTTCTTACTGGTATTCAGCAGTTGCAGCTAAACTTCCCACCAGGCCTATGGAGCCACAAGGGATTGTCAAAGCCTTTCCCAAGAGGAAGAAGGTGAGGGATGACTCAGGGAAAAATGTCCCCCCAAAGATCCTGAAAGAGGAAGGAACAGAGATACCTCAGGGTAAGTCCTGCGTGCCTGTGGTGTGGAATATAATACTCCTGCTCCTGCTGGTTAGCTGGAGGTGCCATTCCCCCGAAGGAAAGTCTGGCCCCCAGATGTACTTTCTGTAGAGGCTGTAGCCAGGTTGCTTTGACATGTCCAGCTGGTGCCACCCAAAGACTGTTTGCCACTGCGGGAACCATCACATCCTATGTGAGATAGGTGGCCGAGCAGCTTTGGGACACCATTTCTCTTGCCACTGAGCTCCTGCCTCTGTGTTTTCCTCAGCAGAGTGGCTGAAACCAGTCACAGCCTACGTGTTGCAAGCTGGCATCGGCCAAGCCAGGGCAGAGATCTTCAACAAGCAGATTGTCCAGAATGGGGGTGTTGTATGCAAGCAGCTCTCCTCAGAGGTGACACACGTCATTATGGCTGAAGACATGGACTGTGATCGGGCCTTTAGGCTCCTTAAATTAACCAAGTTACCTTCAGGGTTGCAGCTAGTGAAGGCATCCTGGCTAAGTGCTTGCATCAGAGACCAGAAGCTGCTGAGTACCACTGGCTATGGTGTCTTCATCCCTCGCAGGTATGCAAATGCCAAACTGTCATTCATCCCTACTGCACTTCTGTCCCACGCTGAACAGCACTAAAATTAGCCCCCTGCTTAAATCTTGCACTGCAACTCCTGTGAGCATACCTCAAAGTCACTTTTCCCTGTACTAACTGCAAGATTTAGTGATTTTATGACCCGCTGCTATTCTGTGGGGTAGAGCAAAATGTGGAATAGGGCCCAGAAGTGCTAAGAGGAGTCCTGACATTTGCTAGAGATGCCAAAGGCACCTCTTCATACTCCATCAATGATAACAAGAAGTTTTATTTTTAAACTGCTGGTGATTAAATGCTGTTGCTTACTTATTGCAGATGAAAGTAGAGAGAGAATTGACAACTAGGCACAAGAGAAAATAAGGAATGGAGCAGCAGGCAGCTACAGGTTAGGATCAAAATGTTTTGGCAAAGCTTTGGAGAAAGAGTCTAAGAGCGAGGTAGATAGTAGTGTAAGTTGCAGGTTAGTGAGGTGGATGGAAATTGGAGAATTGAGCCGAAACTAGGGTAATTAATCTGTGTTCTGAGAGAGTACAATTCATATGGGCTGTTTGTTCCATCTCAAAACATGCAGAAGGATTTCTTGATCAGACTTCTGGGGGCTGAGGAGTCCTGCTTCTCCTATACTAACACATCTTGTCCATGGCAGGTACATGGAGGAGGGAGAACGGCAGAAAGAGCAGCAGCAGCAGGTCCTGGCCAGTGAAGAGATCCAGCCCCCAGCAGAGGAGGCAGCAGAGAAACCAAATACTGAAGCGCAGGTGGGAGATTCCTCGCAGAGAGGCCTGGACATCCCTGGACAGCAGCAGCTGGTTGAGGTGAGATTTCCTCACAGGCCCTTTTCCTTGTGAACAGATCCTGCATATAGTTTTTCCTGGGTAAGAGCATCCCTGCAGGGGCACAATGCCAGATTTTCTCAGCAAAGGAAAGGCGTTTGGATGTTTTAGTGGGTTCATGCTGGAAGACTCAGACTGTGGGCATGGTTACTGCTTCTTAATTCCTGTCCCCATTAGAACATTTCCAACCAAAGCAGTCCTGGTGCTCTGAACAAGCCAAGGCTCACTCTAGTGATCAACTTTCCCCTACATCCTTTTGAGGAATATTCCCTGACTGAGAATATCCCCCTTTCAGGAAGCTATCTCTCATATTTCATCCCATGTTCCTGCCTGAGCCATACTGACCCATTCTCTGCTCCTTGGCAAGCTCCCTGTTCAGACACATGTGCAGTAGATCAGGTTGCCACTCAAACGATTGTGATGGTGTGCTTAAAATATCTGTGTTGCATTATTAGTGGCCTCTGCTATGAGTCAGCTTCTCCAGCCTGCTGTTAGCTTTCTGTCCTTCCTCTGCATTTTTGCTTAAGTTTGCTGAATTCTTTTTGGGCACTGGCGTCATTCAAATCTATCTGTAGCAAAGTTACCCCAGACCTCTTGGAGCAGCAGCTGCCTTGTAATGCTGGCATCTGTTTTCTAACACAGTCCCAAATTTCATTTCACCTAACCCTGTAGTTACTCACTAACTGGCAGCCCACTGAGGGCTCCTTTGTTTCAGGTTTTCTCTTGAATACCTGTAGTGGGAGATCTGCTCTTCTCAAACTTACTAGCCAGAGCGCCATAGACAGCTTCTTAACTGCATCACCTTTGCAGTTTCTTGTTTCTTTGCTGTTTCTTGTAACTCTTAATTTACTAGCAATTGTTATTAACAATTAGCAGGAGAAAGGATCTTTTGTACTGTTATGGATCCTGTGATATGTGCTCTGCTTTCTGCTTGCGTTTACTTTGAGTGGTCAGACAGCTGCTAGAGTCTGAAGCCTTATTGCCTTTTTTTCTTTTAAATCCCCTGAAGCAATGATCTTTCCTTTTAATCTGTGCACAAAAGCAACATTTGTAAGCATGTCAATAAAATACCTTGTCCCAAGCTTAAGACTGTGTGAGTTTGGAGAGGAGAGGAGATGAGAACCCGCAGGATATGCTTTAAAGACAGTACCAACCACTCTTGAGATACAGCGCAACAGTAAAGCTGAAATCTCAGCTTAGAAGTAGCCTCTGTTTAAGCACAGAATCTTTACTAGCTTGAGTGTGTTTTTTTTTTCTCTCAGAGATGATGAGTGTGCCAGTTTTTGCTACTGAACAGAGGCTGCTCTGGGAGTTCTGTGTTTGGATGTAAACTTGTGTGAGGAAACCCCATTACCAGTCAGACTGTAGCAACCGCTTTGTGACTGGCATCTGGATGCAGTAATTTTCTGCAGGGCAGCTTGACCCAGTTTTCAGAGTTAGAAAACAAGATTACAAAAGGGAAACATCCTGCCTCTTCTGCCTAAAGACTTCAGCTCTGTATCTTGCAGGAATTATGTCTCCAGGCCTCCTTAGCCAGCATAATCAGAGGTTGTAAGGATGTGGCTCTGACTTAGGATGACGCTCTGCAAAAACTCAGGATAGGACTTGTGTGCCACATTTAATTGCTGGACTGATCCCAAACAATCCTGTGTCATTCAGGGTTACTTTCACAGCTCAGAAGCTCTTGGATCTTCGTGGACTCCTCTGTGTTTATAGATCAGGAGAGAGGGGGACTCCAGTGAGGATAGCAGTCTACAAAGCCTCTGTGCGGCTTCCCACTTCTATCCCCTTTTGTTCGCCACCTGAGGCCAAGGCTCATTGTTTCTTAAGTCTACACAGAGGCATCCTAATGCTGAGGGTATCAGCAAATGTATACATTGGTTCTTTCTTCTGTCAGTGAGGAATGTGGAGTCTTTTGTGTCTTTCCTTCCTCCCCCTTTTCTCTTGCAGATAGCCATGGGGAAAATGAGAACATTGTAATTTACAACCCTGTTAAGATTTTGTGTCTGTAACATGAAAAAAAGAGTTTAGTGCCTGTCTTGGCATCTGCGTCATCTGGGTTGAAGGTGCAGAGCCTGAATGCGAGAGATGTGTCTGTGCAGCCACCAGACCAGTGAAAAGTTTTCCAGTGGGTGTAAGGAATCAGGATTTCCCCCAGCCTGGGATTTCAGCGTTGTCATACCATGCTGCTGGCAGCAGCTGCTTGCTAAACCAGTGTCTTACCCCAGTTAGGTCTCACGGCCTTGGCCATAGGAGGTGCATGTGTGCTTGGATCACAGGCAAACAGCAGTCTCTGGTCTCCTGTGCTTCCTGAGATGTGTGTGTAGCTTCAAGGGGTGTATATGTGGCTTGACGCATGAAGAGCTATGGTGTGCATATAACCAACCACTTCTAGAGATGGCAATTTGAGCACTGCGTGCCCCAGAGATTGGTTACTGCTCTGACTTCCTGCTCTCAGGAGCACGCTGTGCCAAGGGGACATATGTGAAGCATGCACTTATTCTCACATGGCTGCTTTTTTACCTCTCCCTAAAGAAAGACTCCGATGATGAAGACAGTGAAGGAGAAGATGCAAGTGTCACCCAGGGGGATCTGGAAGCACTGATTTCTGGCCGCTACCCTGTCAAATCTTCAGAGGAGACCAGTGACAGCTCTTCCACAGCAGCCCAGCCTGCCAGCAAGTGGGTCTGTGCCCAGTCCTCCAACAGCAAGAAGGAGAATCATAACCAATGCATCACAGAGAAGCTGGAAGTGCTGGCAAAGGCCTACTCTGTCCAGGGGGACAAGTGGAGAGCTCTGGGCTACTCCAAAGCCATCAATGCACTCAAGAGCTATCACAAGCCAGTCACCTCCTACCAGGTAAACCACCTTCCCAGGGTGATGGAGCAGGGTTATAGACCCAGTATCCTAGCTCTGTTATGAGCCAGATCCCTTGCTCTTTCTGTACATGGAACAGTTTATTTTCACGCCTTGGGAATCTCTTCTTGTGTGGTGACTTTGACAGAAGTTGCGTAGCAAGTGCAAGTTGGGATTCCTTGACCGCTGCAGTGTTTTCAGAACAGCAGGAAAGGGCCAGATCTGAGCACTCCTGAGATAAATACCTTCCCCAGGCACAATGCATGCACATTTTCACCTTCCTCTTAAGCATCAGCAACTGGCCACCTTTTGAGATAATATATAAAACTGGCTGGATCTGAGCCTTATTGAGTGACAGTCCATCCTGCCCGTGTGTTAGTGTTTCAGTCCTGTTCTGCATGCTTGTCCTTTTCCACTTGGCATTGAATCAATGTAGTCTGTATAAGCTTGGGCTAGACAGGAGACCATCAGGCAGAACTAATCACTGATCAAATGGCTAACTAGGCTCTGAATGGGTAGCAGCTCCCCAGCTTGTCAGTGATGTTCACTTTTCTAGTAGTAGCTCTAGTTTCTTGCTAGGAAGCCTGTAAGATCCCTGGGATTGGGAAACGGATGGCAGAGAAGATCCTGGAAATCTTGGAGAGTGGGTACCTGCGCAAGCTGGATCACATCAGTGAGAGCGTGCCTGTGCTCGAGTTGTTTTCCAACATCTGGGGAGCAGGAGTCAAGACAGCTCAGACATGGTACCAGCAGGTAAGTATAGTTTCTCAGGCTATACTGTCTGCAGACTGCTGCTGGGGGTAGGAGAATTACATTCACAAATAGTTCTCAATTGCCAGTATCCACAAATGGGATTTGAATCTGGTTTTATGGGTGGAACTGTGAGGCTGGGTCCCCTTGTGGGTGTATTTGGGGGCAGTGGAGTACACCTGGCTGAGATGTGTGTTGGAATGGGGGTAGAAGACAAAGTGTGATAAGAAGAATGGGGGACAGACTGCCTCTCCTGTTAGCATCACTGTCTAGAGCTCATCTCACACCACTCATGGTAATGACACTGCCATGAGCCAGGGTTGAACTAGGACATCTTGGCCATGAAAGCACCTCATCTAGTCGCTGGGCTCTTGGCCTGGGTGGCTTCTGTAGCTGTCAGAGCAGCTGTCCACCTTGCCTGGGTTCCCTTTTTAAAAACAGAACTAATGAAGCCTGGTTTCCTGTAGTGTTTGGTGGGCTTTCCCTCATGGGGGTGTACTAGGTCTTGTTCCTTTACCCGCATTACTTTTTTTCCTTCAAGCTGTAGGAATGCAGTGTCTTTAGAACAGTAGCCTTCTGTCAGATTTAGTTCAGATTCCAAGTCATTCTGGGGTGGAGATTAGGGGCGTGTGTAGGTAGTGGGATTGCCTAAATACCTTCTTCTAGGAGCCAGGCCCTAAATGATCTCCACATGTGATCTTGGAAGCTGTGACTGGCCTGGACTTGAGCCAGGTTAAATACAATCTCCCCAAATCTTAGTTGAAAGTATTTGAAGAGCAAAATCTTGGTAAATGCTTGAACGTCATCACACGGTCTGCACTAGGGTTTCCGGACACTGGATGATATCCGCACCAAGGCGACTCTCACCAGCCAGCAAACCGTGGGGCTGAAGCACTACACGGATTTCCTGGAGCGCATGCCTCGCGAGGAAGCTGCAGAAATAGAACAGACTGTGAGTAGTTCTGCCCTGGGCTGGCAGAGTGGAGTACCTGCTGGGACCTGACAGGAGGGTTCATGCTGTGGAAACGTCCCTCACTCTTGTAGCTGAGCTCTTCAGCCTCTCACCTGAGCAGGATCAGTGACTGGGGGACCATTTTTGGGCGCAGGCACACAAGGCACCTCCTTTGCCCTCTTTGGAAAGTTCAGTTTGAGTGTCTGGCAAGGAGGAGGATACTTCCCAGGTGTCACTTCTACACACTGATTTGAAAAAGGCTGCATGTGGCGTGGTGGGCTAAGCAGGTTCCCAGCTCCTCTTTCCTGCCTCTCATCGTGTCTGAGATGTCTGCTTTCAGCTGAGACCCCTGAGCTATCTCCCGGGTTCTGCTTCTCCAGACGAAGGTGTGAGCACCCAGTCCATCTGGCTGTCAGTGAGAGGACAGAGCCTGCATATCCTTGCTGAAAGCGAAGGGGATCCAGGCTGCAGATGGGTGCTGCTCGCTCTAGTGTGCCCATAGCGCTCCACAACTATAGGGTGCTAAGCCAGTGTACCCTAATGTGAGCAGAGAGCTTGGGGGGGACACTGTCATTGCTACCCGTGTGCTCCCTGATCACCATGGAAGCAGCAGCCAGCGTGACCCTGTCACTCGGCCACAGGGCCTGGCCACGAAGAATACGCTCCTGCCAGTCTCCTGCTGGGGTGTCAGTCCTGTGTGCCGGATTAGCCATTTTGGTGGTGAGCGGTCCCTTTCCCAGGCAGGCTGGGTCGAGGAGCTGGCTCTTGGGAGCGAGTCCATTGTTATCTTGATGGGATTACTGCACTCCCCTCCATACACTCGCGCACACCTCTGATCCAGACCCAGGAGAGAGAATGAGGGATTAGTCACTGTGCTGCCTGTCACAGTGAGATCTGAGGAGCTTTTAGGCTCTCGGGTGGGGCTGGGAGTTTTCTAGAAATCTTCATTTAAAGCTAGAAGGGGGGAAAAGGACACCAGAGGAGGGCTTGCTCCGCATGAGAAAGGCTTGTGGCTTCTTGGAGCACCTCTGGGGCAAAGGTTAATGGGTTTATCTCTTGCTAATGAAGGATGATCCCCAAGAGTGACAAGGAGCTGTAGGCATGGACACTGCCTTCCTGAACCCCAGCCTCTGTGATGGTCTTGTCACTGGGAATTCCTGAGCCCCTAATTATTTGCTGCCAGCAGGGTGATTGGCACAATCTGACCAACAATACTTTACTCCTGTCCAAGGACTTGGGAGCCTTTCTTAAGCATTTAATGAATGAAGCCATCAGAATTAGCACTGTCTGCACAAAATAGGATCTGGGGTTCAGCCTTGTGGTGGCTGCATTAGGGGAGGTTCTGATTATATGTGTCTCATTGCTGGCAGCAGCATATTGGCATCTGTTCGGTCTAAAATGGTGGGACATTTGGTTTTTTTCCGGGTCAGGAAGCCCAGTTCTGCAAAGGCAGAGCTCCTGGCTAGAGTGGACTCCAAGGGACACTTGCAGGTTTTCTGCCTGGGTGGTGCTGGAGAGATTTTCCATGAGCCCATCTCTGCTGCGGAAACAGTACCTGTGACCATCTTGTGTTGAACCGATTCTCTTTGTGGGCAGAGCTGGTGAGTTTTGCCCTTCTGGCCCACAGGAGAGATGAAAAACCTCTTCTCTCCTGCTGTCTTAGAAACCGAAGGCTCTGACAGGTTATGCCATGCTTTGCCTCCTCAGTGTCACCGCATCTTGCTGTTTGTCCCAACACAGCTCCAGCCGAGTGACCCCAAGTGCTGCTGATGACTGATGGGAGTGCCATGGGAGATCATTGTATTGTGTGACAGTGTGCTGTGCTTTTGCAGGACTGGGTGGAGGCCACCCTGGCTCAGGTGGCTCCTAACAGCAGGCCAGCCCCCATGGTGGGGCAGTTTGCCACCTGCCAAGTGTCTGCTCCATACAGAGACCCTGGAGAAGCAGGACAGGCTGCAGGGCAGGTACAAGGTATTTTGCTGCCTTGATGGAAAAGACACAGAGACTGGTCTCTGACTCCTCATCCCTCTTTCTCTTCTTGGAGGTCAGAAAAGCTGCCCTGGCCCTGAAACCTGGGCTTGTATGTGTGGCATGTGGCTCCTACCGTCGGGGGAAGCCCACCTGTGGAGACGTGGATGTGCTGGTCACTCACCCAGATGGACAGTCTCACCGTGGAGTGTTCAGCAAGCTGCTTGACAGCCTCCGCAGGAGTGGTAAGAGGGCTGGGGGCTGGCACATGGTGCTTAAAGCTGTTCTTAGCACGGCTGAGCCAAGGAGGCGGTGAGGGGAATGGCATTCGTTGAAGGGCAAGTGATTGCTTTTCCCAAGGGCAGGGCATCTTGTAGGTCCTTAAGAGTACTGCCCCTGTCCTAGCCCCGCTCCAGTGGCAGATTATGAGACTCCTCAGCTGCTGTCTGGACAGTTCAGGATAGGGGTGTCAGTCTCTACCATTCAGCTTCTTTCTGCATGTTCTCTCTCCCAAGGCTTCCTTACGGATGACCTGGTGACTCAGGAGGACAACGGTGATCAGAAGAAGTACCTGGGGGTGTGCCGCCTTCCCGGGCCAGCCCGGCGTCACCGCCGGCTTGACATCATCGTGGTGCCTTACAGTGAGTTTGCCTGTGCCCTGCTCTACTTCACCGGCTCGGCTCACTTCAACCGCTCCATGCGGGCCTTGGCCAAAACCAAGGGCATGAGCCTCTCTGAGCACGCCCTCAGCTCAGCTGTAGTGCGAGGCCCTGGAGGCGTCAAGGTGACATCTGGCCATACTCTGCCCACTCCAACAGAAAGGGATGTCTTCATTCAGCTGGGGCTGCCTTACCGGGAGCCCTCAGAACGGGACTGGTGACACCCTGCTGTCACCCAGCACCCGAGGCCCACTGACATGCTGCTGTTTTGGAGGGTGCTGGTTTCCCCAGTGCTGCTCTGTGGTGACTGCAGACTGAGGAACATAATCCCAGCAAACTGGGGTTTCTTGTATGCGTGGGGCCCTGCTGTTCACAGAGTTGTGTGGCTTTACCCAGTGGAGGCCTTGGGCTGAGACAACACTAAAAGTGCTTCCTGATGCTACAGGCAGCCCCTGGCTACCAAAAGGGCTTGCTGCCCATCAGCTGCCCTGACCCTGCTCAGAAGGCTGGGCTGAAGAGCATTGCAATCCAGCCCCTCCCATGCTTGGGAACAGGGAAGAGGGATGTGTCTTCCCCTGTGTCTGTGTATGGTCATCCAAAATCCATCCTGAGCTGTTATGAAGGCAGCTAGGGTCTGGCTTGGCCCTGCAATAGGTCTTCTCCACTCCTCACTGCTGCTGGCAGCTGCTACTGTGGGAAACGTGAAGGGTCCTTGTGTGCTGCTGCTGTGTCCTTCCTCTCCCTGAGCTGACTTGTGTCCTCTGATGGGCCTCACTGCATGAGGTTGGAATGCTGTGACTGCTACCAGCTTCCCCTAGTGCCAGGTGAACCCTGAAGGAGGTGTAGGGACCCAGTGTGCTGGGCTGGTCACGCTCAGCCTATTGTGTGCCAAGGATCCTCCAGTGCAGGGCTGTGATCCCCCTGCTCTGGCCCAAGAACTCCCTTCCTTTCAGTACGGAAGAGGAGCAGACCTGTGGAGTTGTGCTCAGGAAGAGTTTCAATGCAACGGTACCGAATGGAACCCAGCGGCGCTGTGTGGTTGTGCGTAGGAGGCACAGAGGCAGAGGGAAACACGAGGAAATAGTTTAGTTCTAATTTGGGTGGAGCAAAGCTTTCCCTTTTTGTGTGTGTGGAAGCTGTGGAGTCATCTGGTTTCTGATCAGAAAAAGTGTACGTGTGTGTGTGTGTGTGTGTGTGTGCAAGTACATGCAGCTGGCTCTGTCAGTTCCAGGGGGGTGAATTTTATTTTTCTGGAAACATGAAGTAGTTTATATACTGGAGATGAATTTCCCAGAGACTTTCAGTGCTCCATCTCCATTACGGGTATTGCAGTGGTTCCTTCTGGCAGAGGTGCTGCTCTACAGCATCGGCTGCCAGGAGCACCATGGTGGGTGTTCATGTGCCAGGACCTCGGGGCTCCCTGTGGTCCCTCTCTGGGTCTGGCCTGACCTCCCGCTCCCTTGTCCTGGGGGGGACCCAGCCACCCCAGCTTTGCTCTCTGCAGTGGCTTTGTCATGTGCAGTGACAATCGGTGTGCTGGCTGCCAAGGCAGGCGCAAGGGCATTAAACCTCACGGGTTTGCCATCAGCTGTGGCTGCTGGACACCAGTGGTGGGGCTGAGGTGCTTGCTGGGGAGCCTTTGCCCTAGCAGTGTTGTCTGTCAGCCCAGCCTTTCTACTGAACACCTAATGGAAATTAATGTCTTCTGGCACGTCTTGGGTGCTTTGGAATTTGAAATATAATAAATCCATTCTCTCTCTTCCCTTTGCATCTCTGTCTTTTTGCTCTTTGCCCTCCAACTGTTCAGACTCTTCCCTCTGGCTGACCGGGAGCCCCTCCTGTGCTGACCTGTGTCCCTGTTTTCAGTACAGGCAGGGAGAAGGCAGTGGAGACCTTCACGCTGTTGCATCACCACTTCTGGCTCTCAGGAGAGGGAGTTGCTGGTCACCATCCTCCCGTGTCAGAGCAAGACCTGGTTTGGTCCTGGCATCCAGCTGTCCATGTGGCTGAGCTGGAGCTGACCGTGCCCAGAGAAAGGAGCAATTCCCAAATTCTGAGCCCTGGGCTGAGCTCTTACTTCACGTGTGGAGTCAAGAAGGAATTGTTGCCAGCTTTTGTGTATTTTGTCAAAGAGCAGCATCTCTGCAGAGTTGGCCCCTGTTCTGTTTCTGGTTCTGTGCCTGAAACACTGCTCAGTCTCCTGAGACTGGAAATGCTTTGGTTGTCCATGGGGAATCTGGGCAGCCTGGAAGCCAAAGGAAGCACATGGAGATGAGCATCAAGGACGATTGGCTCAAAAGGAAGGTGGAGGAGCTGAAGAGGGACAGGGGCTGCTGGGGCACTCAGAGGCTGGGGCAGAGCCAGTGAGTGCTGGGCTGGTTATCTCGGAGCAAAGTGAGGTTGGCCTCAGACCAGGGCCTGGGAGGTCCAGGGGGAGCACTCTGTCCCCAGGAGAACTATGCAGCCCAGGAAACAGCCCAGAGAGGAGGAGGTCCCAATCTTTGGAGTCAGCCAGGCTTGGTCAGGCAGGGATGAAGCTGGCCTTGTCCAGGACTGAAGATAGTTTTGCCCTGAAGGGAGGTGGGATGGGGCTTCCTCTCCTTTCAGTGCTGCTGGGATGGTCCTGGGGGGTTTTCCTAGAGCCTTATGGCTGGCAGCCCTGGGCTGGGGCAAGAAGCAGTGTATGGGGCTGCTCACCTTGGCCCCTTGATGAGCACAGATCTGCCTCCAGCGCTGGATGCCAGCGAGAGCTGTTCCTGGCAAGCTGGGCTGTCTCTCTCGCCAGAGCCACGTGCTGGGGATGTCACTGGAAGCGTGGGAGATGTGGCACTGCTGGCCCCCAGCTCCTTCCCCTTTGTCACTCCCCCTCTCCACGGATACAATTCACACCCTGGTGCCAAATGGGTGCTGGCAGCAGCACGTCAAAGCCCTGGCCCTGCTGTTTGTGCTACTTTGCTGGGTGGGGGGAGGCCAGACATGGGGATGGGTGGGGCTGCTAAGGAGCCAGGACTGTTCTCCCTATCCCTTGGGAAATGTTAGTGAGGGTGACTCTAGAGTGCACTTGTCATGTGGAGCTGCTGGGGGAGAAGTCCTGTCAGCCTC